AAATCATTTTTCCCAAGTCCTCTGAAATTTTGCCCTTGTCGCGGCGACAAATATTTATATGACAGTAAGGAAGGTCGTTTAAACAGTCGGGAAAAACTCAAAATAACAATTAAATTCAGATTTTCCAGAATAATTGGCAACCTTTTTCCCGTAACTCGAACAATTCTTTTTTGTTCATAAGCTTTCACGACTGTTAGCAACTGCGGAATATGGAAATTTGAGCGACCTCCATTAATTTGAACTTTTTTGTGAACAATTCTACATATCATATTTTATTGCAACAAGTTGAGGCTGAACAGAAAAAATTTTCATCAACTACAGCCAACAAACAAATTTAAGCAAAAACCGGAACAAGAGTTAAATTAGTTCAAGTTTTAGTTTCTAAAATTAAAGGGTTTTCTCTTGTTTAGGAAAAGTTTTTTTCTTAAAACTGACCTAAAAAAATCCCAAAGAAATGACTACTTTTTAGAACAGACGCATAATTAGCCCCAGTAACAATTATCGTACGTGGGGTTCGGTAACACTGTTTCTTCCTTTTCAAATTTGTAAATTAGATAAATTGTTTAATCTCTTTTTTGATAATTGATTAGTTTTTTCTCAATGCCTATTCTCTTAATTTTCTGGAAGAAACATTTTGGACCAATTTTGATCAAATGAAATTTACTACGTTATACTGAAAAAAAAGTTTTTTTCAACCTAAGTCGCTAATAAAAAAGCGGCTCCTTTCCAGTTTTTTCCTTTCAAAATACCGAGTTTTGTGCATGTTTTACGAGATATTACGGCTAAATGCGTGATGTTACGCTGTAAAGTATGAAAAACAAATTTGTTCACAGTTGTCGATTTGCTCACCACGCCAAATTTCCTTGCTTTATGACAATGTCAAACAAGCTCTTCGAATTTGAATGAGGGAACTGGAGAAAAGACAAAAATGTTTCTTGTGATGACAATTTTGAATCGTTATGCTGCGATAGCGTTATAATACCATTTAGGGTTTGACAAATAATTAATCAAATGAACAAAATACTTAATTAATCAAAAGAATCAAATACAAAATAAAGAGGCGTTTTCAGCGTTTTGAAAAAAAAACTCTAGAGAAACTGAAAATCCAACTTTTGTGTATCCAGGACTAGTTGTTTCTCCAAAACAAGTATGACTACATTATAGAACAGGGCTTAAACATACGGGAACACTCAAAATAACATTTAAAATCAGAGTTTCCTGACTAATTGGCAACATTTTTCCCGTAATTCGAACAATTCTTTTTTGTTCATAAGCTTTTAGCAACTGGAAATTTGAACGACTCCCATCATTTTGAACTTTTTTGTGAACGATTCTACATATCATGTTTTATTGCAACAAGTTGAGGCTGAACAGAAAAAAATTTCATCAACTACAGCCAACAAAAAAATTTAAGCAAAAACCGAAACAAGAGTTAAATTAGTTCAAGTTTTAGTTTCTAAGGTTAAAGGGTTTTCTCTTATTCAAGTAAAGTTTTTTTCTTAAAACTGACCAAAAAAAATCCCAAGGAAATGACTACATTATAGAACAGACGCATAGTTAGCCCCAATAACAATTATCGTACGTGGGGTTCGGTAACACTGTTTCTTCTTTTTCAAATTCGTTTATTAGAGAAATTGTTTAATCTCTTTTTTGATAACTGATTACTTTTTTCTCAATGCCTTCTCCTAATTATCTGGAGGTAAAACTGTTGGACCAATTTTTATCAAATAAAATTTACTGCGTTAATCAATGTCAAACAAGCTCTTCAAAGTAGAATTTGAATGAGGGAACTGGAGAAAAGCCAAAAATGCTTCGTGTGGTGGCACTTTTGAATCGAGAGGGAAGGAACTCCAGAGAAACTGAAAATCTAATTTTTGTGTATCTAGGACTACGTTATGCATACAAAAAATTAAATTTTGCCTGCAAAAAAAAACTTTTTACAATTTGTTTGTTTGTGTACAAAACTCGTTTTGCGGTTGAAAAAAAATCAAAAATTTTTTGGGGTATTTTAAATGTTTTTTTTTGTGCCATCATCACAAAAATGCCAGTTATACAATTTACGGCTCTTTTCCAGTTTCCTCTTTTGAATTCAAATCTGAAAAGTTTGTTTAGCCTTGTTTTAAGGCATTGAATTTTGGCGTGGTGAACGAATCGTTAACTGTGAACAGATTTGTTCTCCATACTTTACTGTGTAACATCACGCATTTAGCCGCAATAACACGTAAAACATAAAATTCGTTACTTTGAAAAGGAGTAAACTGGAAAATAGCCCAACTTCCATATATTGAAATTGTTGACAAGCATTTTTTTTTTCAAAAAAAAACTAAAACCTCGGTTTTTCCCTCATCAGACTATTTTATTAGAATCAAAAGCCGCAGAAATTAGTTGGAATATTTTTTTCAACCATTCATGAAACTGTTTGAAAATTGTATGACAAGCAGTTGTCTCTACACTTGACGTATGGAATTGTATGATAAGCAATTTTAGTGCATGGAGGTCAACCCGAGAACTTTGTAAAATTTTTGTTCACTCAGTCACGTTCACATGTTTTGCTGCTGTTTAGAACATCAAAAGTCTCTTCCGCTCTTTTCTACTTCTCCCCACTTTTCAAATCCTCAAACTTAGTAGTTGTTTTACATATTATTACGGCTAGATGCGTGACAGTAAGATATATATTATATAGAACAAAATTGTTCACAGTTGGTAGTTTGGCTCTTTTTCTTTTCCCTCGACGGAGAGTTCTTTAATTCATTTTTTTTCTCATGGTCTGATTTTTTATGAAATTACACGGGGACTATTTAAGCCACAAAAAGTGTTTTAGTCTTCATATTTAATCTTGTAAACACACCTACTACACCATTAAACTGATACTTTGCGAAGTGGAAGAAGGAAAAAGAGCCGGTACTTTGTTCACAATGCCAAGTTCCATGGGAATCTGACACTTTAATTAATTTTTCAAAAATTGAATTTCAATGGTGGCAAAGAATTGGAAAAAGCCGTAACTCTTTTCCACTTCCCCTTTTCAAAATATAGATCTTTATGTTTGCTTTATGTGTTATTGTGGCTAAATGCGTGATAATATGATGTAAAGTATGAAGAACCAATCTATTCACAGTTGTCAGTTTATTCACTATGCCAAATTGCATTGCATAATGACAACGTTAAATAACCTTTTTGAAAAAGAATTTGAAAGGAGGAACAGGAAAAAATCCAAAGCCGTCATTTTAAATAGGCTTTCGTAAATCAAAAGTTAGAAGAAATCAAAGGGGGATTGGAAAAGAGCCAGGGACGATCAGCGCGAGTGTACTGTTTTTTTTACTGCACTATATCATTTTGTGCTCTTTTTCATTCCATTCCCTTTTTAAAACTCATTTTTGACTTGATCATAAGGCAATAAAATTTTTTATGGTGGAAAAATTTACTATTGTGAACACATTTGTTCTTTATACCTTGCATCATAACATCAACATTTAGCCCTAATAGCACGGGCTCTTTTCCCTTCTCCACCTGCAAATATTGGTTCTTTTCCAGCTCCCCCTTTCAAATTCAATTTTGAAAAACTTAATTAACGTTGTCATAATGCAATGAATTTTGTCGAGGTAAGCGAATCGACAACTGTGGACAGATTTGTTCTTCATACTTAACAGCGTAAAATCACGCATTTAGCCGTAATAGCTCGTAAAACAAACAGAAAACTCGGTATGTTGAAAGGTAGGATGCAAAAGAGCCCAAAATTTTACAAAAATTTTTTGTTCACATCCGATTGTTACAAAAATTTGCATGCGGACTAATTAGGCTATGACAAACTCATTTGGTTTAACCTTGTAAAACTTCATGTTTAACCTTGTAAAACACTTTCCTACACCACAAATTGATGGTTACGGGGAGGGGGAAGAGCCATAATACGTAATACAACTAAGAAAATGGAAAATTTGAGTGTTAAAAAGCCTCATTTGGACTAAAAGGAAGGGCGGCTCTTTTTCCTTTTCCCCCCACCTCACATAAGCGTCAATTTTATGGTGTAACGAGGGGTTTTACAAGGGTAATTATGAACACCAAAAACGTTTGTCATGGCCTAATGAGTTCGCATGCCAATTTTTGTAACATTCGGATAAAGTGAACAAACAAAACTTCACTAGAAAAATCTTGCAGGTGGGGGGGGGGGGGAAGGAAAAAGAGCCGGAAGGGCTACATTGCAAAACGACACTTTTTAAATTCCCTCCCGAATTTTTAACCGCTGATGGGCTCTTTTTCCTTTTCCCCACACCTGCAAATTTTTACATGTGAATTTGTTGACCACATTGTCCGATTGTTATGAAAATTTACGTACCGACTAATAAGACCACGACAAACATATTTGGTCTTCTTACTCAACCTCGTAAAACCACTCGTTACACTAAAAAGTTGAAACTGGCGTGAGGTGGGGGGGGGGGGAAGAAACAGAGCCCTCTGATGTTTATATCTGGTCGGCGGAACAGTAAAAGAGCCAGATGAAAAAACCATTTCGACTCCCTCTACTTTGCTCCTTGCCTGCGAGTTTAAGCATAATTCTACGGTTAGATATTGTTATGGCATGCGCTTGTAAAATTAGACCATGAAAACTTCTTTTGTCCTCATAACTAACCTTACAAACCCCCTCGTTATACAACATGCAATTGATGCTTATCCAAGGTAGGGAAAAAGAGCCGACAACGCTCTACAACGATGAACATACCTGCTATTTCTGTACAATTTCTCTTCACTAAGCTTCTTCTACTCACTCTACTAATATTGCACGGACTATCAGAGACTACGTCAACTAAATAAAAAAATAGGAGAATTCACTACTGGAAAACTTTGTCTATCTAGGAAAAGGCACTACGCAAAAAACGAACAAAGATAAGTTGATCTAAATTACTGCGACTGAAACTATGTTTATCTTCTCCATCTGGAGGTGACTCACTCGACTGTTGTTTGGACTGAAGAGACGTGAACAAATTTTGACGTCATAGTGGAGTTAGATGGGAGGGGAGGCTGTGAGTGTGCGCGTGGTGTGTCGAATCAGACCCATCAACAAAAATGAGGAGAAAAAGGGGGAGAAAAGTGTCGTCATTTTCAAAGGTTCTTTCGTAAATTAAAAGACTCGTCATTAAAAAATTCGTCGTTCATCCTAGCCCTTTCAACAAGTTATAGCCGACGAAGGCTCGTTTTCATATTCGAGTTTTTTCCAGTGTCCTACCCAGGGGCGGATCTAGGATTTTCTCGAGGAGGGCGGGCGGATTTTCAAAAAGTGTTTTTTACGGTCGACCAATTTGGGCTCTTTTCCAGTTTCCCACCCCCTCGTAAAGTTAAAAAATAAAGCTGTCCAACAAATTTTCGCACAGCATTTTCCATGTAAATAATGCTGTAAAAATTTGCCACCTGTTCACGCTGACACGTTTGGATGCAGTTTTCAAAAAGACTTTTATTTATTGAATTAAAAGAAAAATTAAATAGGGGACTGGAAAAGAGCCCAAAATTGATTTCCCGAGCTCTCCCAAAGCACTACAAGATTCTGTTTTGGTCAAATTTTCTGTAGAATTTTTTGTAGGCACTTTTTTGGAATTTTCTTCTAACTTTTCGTGTTTTTTCGGCCCCCTCAAAAAACTTATGTTGCAGCCCACGGCGGCTTGAGAAAATTTTTTGGGTCTGTCAGCCAAAAATGGATATCTCAAAATAGTACAAAAAAGGGACTCCCTAAATCCGCCCCTGTTACCACCCCTTCGTAATGTTACAAAATAAAGCGGTTCAAAAATTGTTCACACGGCATTTTGCATGCAAGATATGGGCTCTTTTCCAGTCCCCCCCTTTAATTTTTTCCGAAATATACTACGGAAATCAATTTGAAATGACTTTTCTGAAAATAAACTGGCTCTTTTTTAGTCCCCCCTCTTCAAATTAATTTTTGAAAACCTTATTTAACGTTGTCATAATGCAATGAAAATTGGCATGGTGAACAAACTGACAATTATGAACAGATTTCTGACAATTTCTTCATACATTACAGCGTAACATCACGCATTTAGCCGTAATAACACTTAAAACAAACATAAACATCGGTATTTTGGTAGGTGGGGGGAGTGGAAAAGAGCCAATAAGCTGCATTAAAACATGTCAGCGTGAACAAGTGAACAAATTCCTACAACATTTTTTACATGCAAATGCCGTGTAAACAATTTTTATCAGTTTCTTATGAAAAGTTTCCATTATTAATTGATATAAACTAAAATTCTATCAATGCGACTTAAATTTTGCCCCAAATCAGCTCGGAGTCAAAAGTTTTTCAGAGTATCTGAGCTTTTTAGATTATTTGAAATTCATTCTGCCTACGCATTAGCCTTATAACAAGGATCACCCATTTTTGTGTTTTTTTTTCAATCAGAAATTGGTTTTTTCGTGCTGGTTATCATAGAAAAAAGTCGAACGCGTAGACGGCATTGATTTAGGCTTAGTCGACGAAATTTCTTTCCAGAAAAAGATTGAAAAAATTATAAATTTCACGAAAAGATGTCTAAACTTCTTTACATACTTATTTGATTTTCCAGTGAAGGACAACGAAACTGGTCTGATCTAGACAGTGAACTTAATGAAGAGCTAAACAAAAAAATGAAGGTATTTTGACAGTAAGCCAATAAATGTTTCACACTTTGGTTGCACTTAAATCGAATGAAAAAGTACTAACTGTGTGTAACAAATTGAGATTCAGTATTCGGGTAATATTTTTCTTTGAATCTGCTTTGTTTGCTTTACTGTCTCTCAAAACTGTCAAATAAGTTCATTGTCTGGACCAGACCCGTTTCGTTTTCATTCGCCATTTTTCTTGAAAGAAGCTCAATGAAGCTGCCAAAATTAGCTTTCCCGCAATAGAACCACTGCTAAACGGATTTTCATTTTCATTCGCCATTTTTCTTGAAAGAAGCTCAATGAAGCTGCCAAAATTAGCTTTTCCCGTAATAGAACCACTTTTTACTGCTAAACGGATTTTTTATTAAGACCTACGCGCATTTTACTCACCTAAAATTAGACTAAAACTTAAAAGTTTCAAACGTGTTTCTCGCGACATAGGATGAGTTTTTAAAAAGATTATTACGTCTTTCGAATGTCGACTGGAAGTTCCGATGTTATATTACTCGGCCTATTCCAATGACAATGTGTGTATACCTGATTTTGCGTTACTTGAAAACAAAAAAAAGAGAAAATTTAAACGCACTCGAATACAAAGTTCCTTCCAATTTTCAATGGTCGGAACTACAAATTTACATTCAGTAGTTTTTGATTACGTGAGCAGTTTATTCAAGAAAATTCAAGGCAATCGCAGGTGCAATTTTGTTTTCATTGCCCTTAAAATATGAGTTTTGATTTTCTTATAGTGGTTTATAATATATGTGCGGAAAACGATTCGATCGACAAAAATTGGGCCAGGGCCGACCTTCTTTATGGAAGGCCGACCTTCTTTATGGAAAAACAGGGCCGACCATCTTTATGGAAAAAAACCGCCTTGCAGATAGAACAAAACACAGTCGAAGCAGATCCGATTGACACCTAAAAAGTTCTTTTTTAAAAACCTTTTTAATTGTCTGCTTACTTTACATTTTCCTAAATATAACTTGTTATTCTGGAGAATATCAGTTTCCAGTTCAGCTGAAAGCATCACTTTTACCGCTCAGTTATCTTAACGTATGTTATGCCTAAATTAATGTTATGAATGTCTATGAACAAGATAGAACAAAACACAGTCGAAGCAGATCCGATTGACACCTAAAAAGTTCTTTTTTAAAAACCTTTTTAATTGTCTGCTTACTTTACATTTTCCTAAATATAACTTGTTATTCTGGAGAATATCAGTTTCCAGTTCAGCTGAAAGCATCACTTTTACCGCTCAGTTATCTTAACGTATGTTATGTCTAAATTAATGTTATGAATGTTTTATTTGAACTTTTGTTTCAGATTTTGTCTTGTAATATTTAATTTGAACCAATCAGATTTTAGCATTATGAGCCACTTTCCAAAATGCCAAAAAAGTCCATTTTGGGCCGTTTGATGACTTCGGGTGCCGGACATCAAGCCGACGGGACTTCAAGCCGAATCGCAAAATTAGGGGCTTCAAGCCGAATATTTTCTTATAAAATTGAAAAATATGATTAATTTGAAAATTTTGTTTAAGAATTTTTGAATTTCATGATCTTTCTTTACTAGTTATTGGCGTAATTTTTACTAATTAGTTATTGGCGTAATTATTGGCATAAAATTTAAGCCTCCCAATAATGTTTAGGAAAGTTGAAAAGTAAAACACGGTCGAAGTATTTTATGCATTTTAAAAACCGGCTAATCTTATTACCGGATGCCAATCCCAAGTGGTGCATTGGCATGAAAAACACTTTTTAGGGACTAAACTTGACTACATTTTTGAAAAGCAACGTTCAACAGATGAGCAAAAAATTGTGTTTTGAGGTGCTTGTAAAGTTCAAATTTCGGCCTGAAGTCCCTTCGGCTTGAAGTCTCGTCGGCCCGTTGTCCTAGATCCCTTTTACCAGACCACAACGCAATAATTCAGTTAGGATAAACTTAAATCGGGTAGGGTTCTCATGCTTGAGGGACCGAACGTTTGAAAAATTTCAATCAATCAAAATCGCTTAGCGTTCCTATTGGCTAAATGCTTTTCTCACAAAATCGAAGTCAATACTAACAGAAAATGTGTTAAATCAGTAAAAAATAATCACAAATATTACGAATTGCGGATTACAACCGTAATACTATTCAGATAAACATCAAGATTTATGATTTCAAGATCATAAGAATTTTTCGTTCTTGAAAACACATCGGTTTATTATCTAATTGGTCAGTATTAACACTATTGGCTTGGATTTATTTTCTTACTTTGAGATTTTCGCGATGTACTTTGAGATTTTGAATACTCAATTCTGATTGGCTGAAAGTGAGTTAAAATTATTTTCAAGCATTTGGTCCGAGGGTTATTTTTATGCGCGAAGGACCGAATGGGCAAAAAAACTTGTGGGCCAAGGACTGAAGACAAAATTAGACGAAAGTCATTTTTTAACAGAAGCAATTTCCGTTTAATCGAAATGAAATAAATGAAGACACTTTTTGCTTTATTCATAACAAAACCCTTGAAATATACAACTTGTCCCAATTCGGCGGCGGTCAGTGACAATTTGAAAAGGTTCCATATTTCTGCCGTTTTTAGATTCGGCCAATATCAATGCTCAGTCCCTAGAATTGTTTACTTTCTTTCCAACTTTTAGAGTATTGAAATATGATTGGCCGATTATTATTTTTGCGCGTTAGGTCCTTTGCGAATGAGGGATTCTACCATTCGGTCCCTCAAGCATGAGGGATGCCACACTTAAATCAGTTGAACATTCGAAAAGGAACATTTTCAAATTGTCACTGACCGCCGCCGAATTGGGACAATTTTTATATTTCAAGGGTCTTGCAAGGAAAGAAGCAAAATATTGCTTTATTTATTTCATTCTGGTTGAATGGAAATTGCTTCTTTTAAAAAATTGACTTTCGGCTAATTTTGTCTTTAGTCCTTGGCCCACAAGTTTTTTCGCCCATTCGGTCCTTCGCGCATGAGAACAACCACCGGACCGAATGCTTGAAATTAATTTTAGCTCACATCAGCCAATCAGAATTGAGTATCCAAAATCTCAAAGTACTCCGCGAAAATCTCAAATTGAGAAAATAAAGCCATTAGTGTTAATACTGACCGATTAGATAATAAGCACATGAGTTTTCAAGAATGAAAAATTCTTAGAATTTGAACTCATAAATCTTGATGTTTATCTGAACAATATTACGTTTGTAACCCGCAATTCGTAATATTTGTGATTACTTTCCACTGATTTAACACATTTTATGTTAGTATTGACTTCGATTTTGTGACAAAAGCATTTAGCCAATAGGAACGCTAAGCGACTTTGATTGATTGAAATTTTTCAAGCTTAGGTCCCTCAAGCATGAAAACCCTACCCGATTTAAGTTTATCTTAATTGACTTATTGCGTTGTGGTCTGGTAAAAGGGATCTAAGACAACAGGCCGACGGGACTTCAAGCCGAAGGGACTTCAGGCCAAAATTTGATTTTTACAAGCACCTCAAAACACAATTTTTTTCATCTGTTGAACGTTTCTTTTCAAAAATTTAGTCAAGTTTGGTCCCTAAAAATTGTTATTCATGACAAGGCACCACTTGGGATTGGCATCCGGTAATAAAATCAGCCGGTTTTTAAAATGCATAAATTAAAAACATGGAAAACTCCTTCAACCGTGTTTTTTTTTTAACTTTCCTAAACATCATTGGGAGGCCTAAATTTTATGAAAACTTCAGTAATTAGTAAAGAAAGATCATGAAATCAAAAATTCTTAAACAAAATTTTCAAATTATTCAAATTTCACAATTTTATAAAAAAAATATTCGGCTTGAAGTCCCTAATTTTACGATTCGGCTTGAAGTTCCGTCAGCTTGATGTCAAACCCAAAGTCATCATACGGCGCAAAATGGACCTTTTTGGCCTTTTGGAAAGTGGCTCATAATGCTAAAATCTGATTGGTTCAAATTAAATATTACAAAACAAAATCTGAAACATAAGTTCAAAAAATCAGTGGCATAAGTCCCAAAATTTATCTTCCAGAATTCGGATTGGTTGAAATTTGAGCCAACAAAATTATGGATTCATTGTTCACTGTTCAAGCTGCACAAACTCAAGCTGCAGAATAGTGACCGCCGCAGCCGTGTCAACGTGTTGCGAGCTTGCCACCAAAGGGTAGGACCCTATACGAAAATTAGAGACGGTTATCGCCGCAAGGTGACGACGCGCGCTTAGCGCGCCCACCAGCGACCTTAAGCCGAGACTCGGTTATTTTGGTCTTTTGACCAACTGAAACGATTTGGGACTTATACGACTGCTATTTTATTTTGGGACCTATGGGACTGATTTTTCATTTTGGGACCTATGAATACGCACCGGGCCGTATAACAGAAAAAAATTGCACACGTATCAGGGGCGGATTTAAAGGGGGCGGACGCCCCCTCTCAGGGATTCGAACCCCTGCCGACCCAAAGGGTCTCCCCTTTGGTACTATTTAAGAAATCCGTTTTTTGCCTTCAAATTTTTCTGAAGGCGCCTTTTTTCTAAAGGCCCCACTAACTTAATGTATGAAAAATGTATCACTAGCATTTTTCCATAGACTAAGTGTAGGAAACTCTATGATTAGCATTTTCGGTCTATGGAGGTCAACCCGGCTACTAACTTTGAGGGGGAGCGCGCGCCAAAAAAAAACGCATTTTTTTGTCAAAATTTTCCAAAAAGTGCCAAAAAAAATTGCTTGCGGCGCAGAAAATTTGACCAAAACAGTCTTTTTCTAAAGCTTTACAAGAGCCCGGAAAATCAATTTGGTCGACCTAAAAAGAATGTTCGAAAATGGTCGTCAAAATGTTTGAAAATCCGCCCCACCTCGGGAAAATCCTAGATCCGCCCCTGACTCGTATTTCAATTACTGCTCAAAGCTGTCACAGCGGAAGGAATGTTTTCTTAACTTTTTCGCGCATTTCTGAAATGTTCACTCTCACATGTTGCAAAATGAAGTCTAGGCTATGCAACCGTTGATAGACAGATCTCTGTTTTCGAACATCGTTGACATGCTGTTATGGATCTACTTAACAATTGCGTTCCCCCCTTTGGTATCTACTTAAGAATTGCCACCCCTATTAAAAAAAGCAGTAAATTAGCACTGAGCTTTCTATTGAGAATTAGAGTTTTGCTGCATTCTGATTGGTCGAAAATGCGTTATTTTAATCTACTTAACAATTGTTCCGTTGTTATTGCTGTTCTGCTGTGTACAGGTGAGAATGGAGTGACAACCGAGGCGCACTCGAAGAAGTGTTTCAACTTCGATGCAGTGCTGCAGCCAGAAGTGACCCAGGAGGAGGTGTTTGAGGAGGGCATGAGACCCATCATTGAACACGTGCTCAAAGGTGAGCCAAGGTCAGCATCACATGACATCCCATTTACTTAATGGATTAGGCCAACTTTGCTCCACCACATTGCTCCAATTGTTCTCTGTGTCAGCTATGCAGTCAGCGAATTAACAAGCCTCTAAATTTTCTATCTATCAAAATTGTATCTATCTATCTTGCGTATTAAAAAATATCATATCTTACTTTGGCGAGAGAAAACTCTGAAAAAAGTCTTTCGATGATTTTTTTTATCGGAACGGCGACAACTCGCTATAAATGACAACTCTCGAAAAAAGCCACAATCGGATTCGAGAAGTTTGAAGGCTAGTTTAACAAACAGTTTCGGCCGTTACCAGAGAGGACAAAAAACGCTTGTCATAAAATTCTTTACTAAGGAGAAAATTTTTATCATTTAATGTCTTAGACCGCAAAAATTGTATGAAAATAGCATGATAAGCATTTTTATTTCATACCATTGAAATATATCATAGACATTTTTCCAAATTATGGAGCTGTATGACAAGCATTTTTCCAGATATTTTTTTTTGTGTTTGATTTTGGGTATTTTCCCTGAAACACAGCAACCATAAAGTTTCTCAAACAGCAATACCAGTAGTATAAACAGCATTGAATTTGCAGATAAATATACGTATTTACAGATGCCAAGTAAGTTAAATTTATGAATTTTACACAGTATGATAGCAAAAAATGTAGCCTTGTGTTAGCAATGAGACTGAAAATTCAAACCATTCAAAGCTTAAAACTCGTGGTCTGCTTTTTGGACAAAAATAGGTTGTCTAAATCCTAAAAAAAGCAATTCTGACATCCCAAAGAATCTTTTCTTCCAGCTTTTCATCAAAGTTTTAATAGCAAAATTTAGAATTTTTCACATTTCTCCGAGAACAAAAAAAACTGAAGCTCAAACTTTTTCAAGGCTAAATTTAGCATACCTAATTTTTGAAAAACAAAAATTTCGGCCATTTTTAAGTGATAACTTCCAAATCAGTGATAAGTATTTGGATCTTGTTAACATTTCTGTTTTGTTCTGTTTTGATGTTCAGAAGACTTTGAATATCTTAAGACAACAAGCAGTTGAGAATTTTTAATATATCAAGGGTAATTAAAACAGATACGAAAAAAAGCGATGAAAACCATATTACGTTTGAGCGTTTTGACTTGCATAAATGACCTACATGGTTGTCAGTAAAGCAACAAGGACCAACAGAATCTTTGATTGCTGAATATCGCTAGCTGCTAAAATTGGGTAATTTAAACTGATTTTAGAAATTTAAAATGTAGTTTCAATCGAACTCCAACCTCAAATCCTGATAACCCTATGTAGAATATACGATTGTGCAACTCCGCACCGCATGAACCGCGGTAGGAAAAACCAAAAAAACGGAAACTAGATATGATTCTAAGGTTTTCAGTAATCATTTGATAACCTCAGTTGACCATTCTGTTGTGGTAGTGTGTTGACCACCTAGTTTTTGAGGACATAAGGTTGAAACGAATTATTTTATCATTTTTTATAGTTAATCGTTTGATCACTACGAAATAGATTTTTGCCAATCGTGTCTATTAAGCTCATCAGCATAACTACTTAATATTTTTACTAATAATTCAACCTTATTATTGATTTAGTTTTCAGATAGAACTTAGGGATTATAACATGGCGCAGCCAGCAGTTTCTTCATCTGAGTCCCTTTTTTTGGGGCAAACCGTCGGCTTAACCTCCATATCCATGAGAGGTATGGGTGGGTCAGAAAACAAACGAAGCAAACGGAGAACAACGGAAGGAGAGACCCAAAATAAGTCTAAATATGTCTACTACCACCAAGCAGACGCATGAACAAAATCAAGATTAATATTTGCCTTAGGAAATAAAGGATAGAAGAGGTTTTTGCAACAACACCCACACATAAATCTCAACTCAGTAAAATTCAAACTTTTTTAAGACGCTTGTGGACAATTATTCAAGCGTGAGAAAAAATTTATCTTTAAAAAGATGCAGGTTTACAACGCATCACATGGAGAAAGAGAAGGTTTCGAATCTTTTTAAGTTTGCTTAGCAGGGCAAGCCTTTAAGTGTGGATGGACCGAGGATATTGAAAAGTAAGTCAACTGCAGTATATTTATAGCAAAACTGAGAATCTCTGACATAAAAAAAGAGCTCTGTATTACACCAGGAATCACAGTAGATGACACCCTCAAATCAGCATTGCTGCAGAAGAAAGAGTACGTAACAGCGAATTCACTTCAAAAGCAGAGTACTTGCAGCAAGCAACTCGACGACTCATCAGTTTCTCTAATCAATTTCGGGTAAGACAAGAACCATTTATTTCCATCCAAGCTAAAAAAAACAATGTTCAAAACAGAATGAACAGAACTCTAAGGAAAGGAAATTTTAAACCAAAATCTCAACAAAACCAACAAAACACCCAACTGAAACTATGCTATTTCTGTGGAAAAAGATTCACATCTGAGCGCAAGGCAAAATCTGAGCACAAGCCGGGGAGCAATATGCAGAAGTCGCGGAAAAAGGGACATTTCGCTTACTGCTGTAAGAGCACGCAAATTGCCAACGTCGAACAACCGGAGCTGGACGATGAAGATTGCAACTTCATTAGACTCAGACAATGAAGAGAATTATTTGGTCCTTAACGTCTCTAAATTATCTATTTAGACGGAAGTAGTCAAAAATAAAGAAGTAATCAATTCCGCCCCAGGCAAAACTAAGTGCCTCTAAGATGCTCATTCAAGAGGCTCATTGTTCAGCACGACCATCGACACTGGGATTCCAGCCTCAGGAAGAAATTGATATTTGCTCGAACGGCTGGAAACTAGAAGGTGCAAAATATTTAATCTCCGAGAAAAAGACTAGATGCCTATAAGGCTTAGACATCTAACCAGACTTCGGGATACACAAAACACAGCTGAAGCCTCCTACTAAATCAGTCAATGCAATTTTAGAATATGAAGATCAAGAAGAAGCTGAAACAAGGCTTTGGAAGAACCAATTTGTCAAGAAATACAGTAAGGTAGTCCAAGGTTAGGACGATCAAAGAAGCACAAGGTTTTCACACCTCTAATTCCGATTCAAGAAAAAGGCAGAAGGGTGCCACTCCATATTCGAGCCAAAGTGGGAGCCAAAATCAAGAAACTTATAAAGGACAGTCACATAAAAAAGCCAGAAAATTGCACAAGTGATCAATTCGTAGCTCTGTTAGCGATCACAGCAATAAAGGATGGCACAGTGAAGTTAGCAATGGACGCGAAACCGATGAATTCCCAAAACTACAAAAATAAAAATCGATAGCCAAATGTACTGGAACTCTTAGCTTCTGCGGCCCAAATTACCACGTCCAAATCAGAAGTCACAGTTCAGTTTGGTTCACATCTTTAGATACAAAAACTTATTTAGTCAACTTCCATTAGATGAATCCATCAGCAAACACTACAACTTCACCATAGTATTTGGAGAGTTTAGTGGAACATACAGATTTAAAACCGGATTTTATGGGATAACATACATGCCGAATAAAATTCCCAAGGCGATGAACAACACATTTTTAGGAGAAAAAGGAGTATTCTGTTTCTCAGATGCTATTCTAATGGTGTCGAACGGATCAATTACCAGCCATAACGAAATAGTCGATGACGTTTCATGATGATTAGACAAAATTGATGTGCATTATTTTGAGTAAAGGCAAATTCTCGAATACCAACTTCACCTATCTGGGATTCGAGATCGAAGATACAGGAGTAAGACCAAAACACTCAAAGATAGAAGCAGTGATGGCACTATAACCAATAAAATCTCTGAAACAGCTCAGATGTTTTATGGGTATATGATTCACATGTCCAGATTTGTTCCTAATCTACCAAATTACAATGAGTTACTGCGACAATCACTAAAAGCAGACCCCAAAGAGAGGTTCACATAGAGTGAAGAGGCAAACAACGCTTTTCAAAAGATATCGGAACTGATTTCAAATTTTACCGACCATAAAGCTATAGTTACAGCTTTGACAGAAAATTGTGGAAACAAGACCCACTAGTCCAGATTAACCATTTGGGCAGCCAAAATTTTTTCACATTTGAATGCTCAATATCCCACATTGCAGGCGTTAAAATAGGAATGGCTGATTACTTGTCTAGAAGTCCTAAAATTGAGGCGCCACTTACTTCAAAATACGATGATCAATTCGTAGTCAAGGCCATTGAGAAAGTCGATGAATCGATGATCAACACGCTAGTAAGCATTCTTTTAGATTACGAAGAAAGTCAGTTAATTCATGCCCATCAAGAGACGAACAACCTACACCAACAGAAATTTATTTTCAACGTAAATTTGGCAAAAGACAACAATCAGTTACCCGATCGCCGACGGAGGGCGACGATATTCGGTACAAAGATTTTAATCAATAAAAATATCCGCATAGAAGCAATTTAGAAGCATCATTCGGTATAGACGGCACAAGAATCTTCCAATCGCAATCAAATATCCAAGTGTACATACACCCGCGAGACGGCGCCTTATCGTGCGATTTTTATATTAGCCAATTAGATTACTTTAGGCAAATCCACATCCCTCATGTACATTTTGAAAATTACGCGGCAAATTTTTTAACTAACCAAAACAGTTTATCCAAATTTGTAACTCATCGCGATAGGGTGAAACTACATGCGGCGGAAATTTTAACCAATCAGAATCTCTTATTTGTAATTTATCCACAACTTTGCCCCATCTAACCAGATCACCACGAGAGAACATCTGAGCCGAACTCAACCAATCAAAAGAGGCGACGTATTATTCAACCAGAAGTTAACAGAAATCTTTGTCTCCGACTTTACATCTAAATCTCAACGGCCTAAATTCTTTAATACCAGTTAACTCAAAAAATCTAATCTTTCAGAGAAACCATATGAGTAAATTTGATCTTTCTTCAATAAGTCAGATGGAAAGCCCAATTATGGAGAGAATTGTAGAGAGGGCCGATTCTAGACAACCAGTAGAATTTCTCAATACCCACAGGAAACGAAAGAGAGTGACACAAGTTAACAGAAACAAAACCAACTATGCCAAAATAATTTCGAACATCAGGGTGAACAGGGTTAAGGAGTCCGTGAGAGTCAACATGATTGCGATTCAGGCCAGAAACCATACGACACCGAAAAAACCGATTCTTACACCAGACAAGAAGTCTTTCACAACGGGACTCCTAAACATTCTAGTTACGGATCTACTGGGGGAGTTGACAACTGAAGACAGTCAGTTAGGAAAACTACGGAAGCATATTCTAGCAAAGGACAGAGAGAGTTCCTACGACTGGGCAGCTACATGGCCAACTTCTGGTATGATGCATCAGTGATCAACAATTGTATCATCATCGAAAACCGGGTGGCGATTCTCACTTGTCTCAGGAAGGCCGTCATGGCTCGACTGCACAGAACACACCCAGATCAGGAAGACATGGTGGGTGTTGCACAATTTCTATGGTGGCTGAAGATGCAGAGAGAAATCATAGACATGTGCCAATCTTGCAGCTCATGCTCGGCTAATGGTAAGAACCTTAAAACATCCATATAATTCAACTCTTCAGAACTTCTGCCAGATCTATCCGGACCGAACGAAAAGCTTCAAGTGGACTTCGCAGGGCCCGAAATTTATTCAAAAAGGAAAAAGCTTTTATTCTATTTGCAATTGACTGGTTTTTGAAACATCCATCAGCCATAATTACTAAAAACTCGGGGAGCGAAAAACGCCTAAATTGTAAACAAGTATATACACCGGCATATCATACCAAAAAATTTAAGAACCGATCAGTATTCTGGATTCAAAAGCGCTAAATTAGGAGAGTTTTGAATATCTAAGGGGATAAATCAAATGTTCTGCCTAGTAGGCGATCACCGCGGTTGCGGATTGGCGGAAGAGTGTATTCAGACTCTGAAAAGGAAGTTAGGCACTATGTAGTTGGACCCAAATTTTGAGGATATTCAATCATACTTTGTTCAGATTTACGCTCAAAGACACCAGCCGCAAGCACGCCGATAACACTGCAACATCAGTGCAGTTCGACCCAACCCAACAGTCAACTAGTACACATTCTGCCGAGTCCAAACGTATCTCAGAGAACAAGGAGGGACATTTTACGAACTAAATTAAACTACAAGCAAAGAAAATGAAGCTGAATACATCGAGGACGAAGATATCCAAAAAGAAGCCAACAGCTTTAGCAGCCAGATATACAGCCTCGCCAAATATACTACGAAACATTCCAAGCAGTGGAATCCTAGACTTTACTCTGACTTCTAGTAGCTCCCCTGAACAGGAAGTACAGGCAGTACCAAGAGTGAATGAGCCAGAAAACCAGACGACAAACGAATGCCCGATAACATCAGTGCCGATTGTAATAAAGAATGTGCTGGGGACAAGCAAGAGTGTAGCGGGAAACTGTCGATATTGTCTGTACCCATAAAGGATAATGTGTAAGTTACGGGTCAAAACATTGCAGAAAGCTGCCCGATATCGTCTCTTTCGATAGTGACGAAGAAAAAGACTTCACTGGACAAGGAAGAGTGCGAAAGCCACCGTCTCGGGAACAACTTCAGTAGAGGTGGAACAGAAGCAGGGGAGAAGTCTGGAAAAACAAAACTTCAGACAAAATGAAAACTCAGGCCAGTTCTGGACCATCCAGACAAGAAAAGAGACAACGAGACAAAAAGAGTGGAGACGGAGACAAAGACAGTATCAAATAGTTCAAAAAGGTCATCAAGCAGAAGTAAGCGACAAACGCAGTTCTTCGGAAGTCGCTAAAACTTTCAGCTAATAGTATGGAAGAGAAATCAGGCGAGGAGAAACTTCAGACAATTCCAGTATCGCCGGGGGGATATTCCGTCTTCGGCAGGGAACATGCCGTCGCCGTCGCCAAGGAGGAGGTTGAAAAGACCAATGTTTGCGGTTTATAAACCAGACTTAGTTCAGAGGAAGAAAACTGACTAAATTTTTAAAACTTTTAAACTCTTTGTTTGAAGTGAAGTGAATTTAATACGTTGTACGAATTTTCCTAGAGGAGAAATGTGGTGGATGTCTGATGATCATCAAAAGTTTGAGGACATAAGGTTGAAATGAATTGTTCTATTATCATTTAACGTTGATCTTTTGATCGCTACGAAGTAGACACCTGCCAATCGTGTCTATTATGTTCATCAACTTTGCTGTGCTAAAGCTAACTCACTCTTCGTAAACTATTGAAATTTTATTGTTGCTTATCATTCTATTAATCCCATCACTACTTATTATCTTTACTATTATGTCAACCTTATAGTTAGTTTAGTTTTCAGATAGAACTTAGGGAATATCACACATTGTCAGCTACGATGCGTAATCTCAAGTCGTCAAGGTCAGGTTTCAACGTCTAGATGAGGACACATTGTCCAGTAAGGCAAAATATACATACAAATTGTTTATATTTTCAGAACAATGTTCATATCTTGAGGAGTTTGAAAAAACGAAAGACTTCCCTCCTCCTTTTAAACAATTTTTGAAAAATGAAAATTGATTTTTGTCGTTTTCGCTGATCCAATTTTTAAAGTTCGTTTTGTTTAATTTTATCTGTGTCAATGTTTTTTTTTCAGTCTGGCTCGCCCTTCTCTTCGTTTTTCGTGATTTTTGGTGTGTCCCTTTTTGTCTATCTTTCGTCTTTGGGTCATTTTCTGCCGGAAAAGCTTCCAAAGTCAAAATAGGAATCCACTACATAGTTAATACTCGTATTACCCTGCTTTCTTTCTTTTTTGATATGATTTTTGTATTTTTTTTGCTTTTTTCATATGTTTTACTCACTTTTTTTTGTTTTCAATCAAATATTTGTACATATTCGAAAAATGAAGTGAGCACCTCGTCACGGATAGTTATAAATAATATAAACAGTATAAGTTCTTTGTTCAATCAAACCTGTAGGAGCATGACATATAGTATGACAAAGTGGTTAAAAAATAGTACATACATAGAGGAAATAAATAACAAGATCTCAAACCAATCGCTATATTTTCTAGGCATGCGCTAGTTTTTGTTTGCTATAAGCTGTTTTGTTTCATAATTACCCGACTAAAATGTTCTGATTAGCTTCGATGTTTCAGGCTACAATGCAACTGTGTTTGCTTACGGACAGACTGCTTCTGGAAAGACATTCACCATGGAGGGGGCTCTCAGTGACGAAAAGGGAAAAGGTGAGTAATATTCTTTGATATACGCGGATTGGAGTGGGCATTGGTAAACACAAGCACCTTTGCTGTACCAAGAAGGAATTGACGACACATTTATGAAATTTTATGCCAATTAATGATGTCCAAATCAAAACAGTTGGACATTTTGGCATTTCGAATAACGTTTCATTTTCAAGCCATAATGCGCAGAGGATCGAAATGAGGCCTCTTTTTCTTTGTTAGGAGTGATTCCTCGGATGGTGGAGGCCCTGTTCAAGTGTGTGGAGGGAAACAATGACGCGAAGCTGACCATCCACCTGTCCTATTTCGAGATCTACAATGAGAAACTGCAGGACCTACTCAAACCAGAGAGCGACAACCTACCCGTACACGAGAAAAACGGAGCCCCATATGTTAAAGTGAGAACGAGAACCCCGAACCAAAAGCCTATAACAAGTTTTCTCATGCAGACGAAATCTTTCAACTATTGACTTTTTCAATTGAATCCAAGAATTGAATCCTCGACAGTATTTCAAAGATGAAAAACTGCAGTTTTGCAAACTCCCCAGCTCACCAGAATTTAGCTGAAAAGCGAATCATATATTATATTTTTTGACTAGTGCTGTTTTGTCTATTGAAACTTATGATTAGAATGATATCACAATTAGTTTGTTGAAAGAGAGACATGTATCTGTGATCCGTAGGGTCTGCACGAGGAAGCCCTGAAGACACCCAAAGAGGTGATGAAGTGGATTGAGAAGGGAAAGAAGAGCAGACATATTGGGAAGACCAACATGAACGAACACTCCTCAAGGTCACACAGTGTAGTACAACTCAAGGTCGAACAGGTCAGCTGCTTCTAAATCCCATTGAGATTACTTTCAAATTCTTTTGAGCCCGCTAGTCAAACTAAAATTCTTTTGTGAATTTTTAATAGAATGCTTTTTAAGCACGAAATATGTCTTTTTCTAATATTCACCATGATTATAGGACTACAATTCGACTGCTCGTCATACAAATATTTTAATAATCTCAAGATTTTTCGAGAATCTTCTCAATCTACAAAAAATCTAATCTACAAACTAGTTTGGAAAACATTACGAACATTTTCGAACCTTATAAGCCTTTCGAGATTTTGCAAAATCGGAGATTCCACCCGACAGGCTGACGCCTTTTTGGTATTCTCACAAGCCGAACTAAATTGTAAACGTACAATTTCATAGAATGTACGGTTATAAGTTTTGGCTTGACTATAAAATTATTATTACTTGCAACATTCAAGGATATTTACCATATATTTGGGCTTCAATTGAAGCTTGAATTGTATCAATGTCTTTCAGAAGTAGCAGCAATATGCTAATTCGATTTGTATTTCAATTTCATTCTATTTAGTCTACAATGAAAGGAAAGAGTTCAAGTCTGCTTTTCTTGGTGGACCTAGCGGGCTCAGAGAAAGTGGCCAAAACAGGTGCCACTGGGCAAACCCTAAATGAAGCCAAGAACATCAACAAATCCCTCTCCTGCCTGGGAAATGTGATCAACGCTCTCACGGATAAAAAGAAGGCCCATGTTCCTTACAGAGACAGCAAGTTGACACGTATCTTGCAGGTGAAATACAAAGCAAGTTTTTCATGATGATTAAATATTAAAAGTAAAATACCTATGTTTGTATGAGGATGAAAACTGCTAAAAGTCAATCCATTCAATATCTATAATGACATATTCCAAAATGTACTTACTAGCGCGGGTTGAATTGTATGAATCAAAAGTTCTGATACTGTTCTCAATTCAAATTTGAAACAATAAAAGCCTTCCATTTGGTTTTTGCTATTAAATCTTATACCGGACACTGCCTGAAACTAGAGAACACTAAAAACGAATTTTTTCTTGCTTTTAATAACTTATATAAGTTATTTGTATCCTCTTCTTTAGTAATTATTGCTGCAATATCTGAATTAGCGATATTTAGCACGGCATTTTAAACCGGGAATTTTCTAGAATAATTCTGAAAAACCTGCAGGAGAGCCTCGGAGGAAATGCACGAACTACAATGGTCATCTGCTGTTCGCCCGCCAAAATGAACGAGGCCGAAACTCAATCCACCCTAATGTTCGGCCAGCGAGTGAAGACAATTAAAAACAATGTGAAGGCCAACACTGAGAAGTCCAGTGAGTACTGGATGAAGATGTACAACAATGAGTGCAATAAAGGAGCCAAAATCAAAGTTCTCGTTTTGAAGTTGATCAAAGAAGCCAAAGAACATAGAAAGGGTAAAGAGCTGAAAAATATAATTTTTCTAAAAAACATATTCCCCTATATGGTGGAAACGTATAAACGTTCGGGAAAATCCTTCCAACCACTTTTTTTCTGACCCGAGACCTAAAAAATTTCGACAAGACTTAAAACTGAATCTAAGAAAACATTCTTGACTTAGAAACCAGAGTACTAAAATTCGATTAATAGTTATCATATTAACCATCATAATAATCACCATAACCATCGTATCGTAACCATCATAATAATCATCAAAGTATTAATAAAAATGATTGTAATAATCATCTTAATCATTATTATAAAATTCGAAATCATAATCAATTACTTGTTAGAAATTATAAGACATAATTTGAAATATAGAACAGGTGAACAATTGGTCGTGAAGACGCCAAACTCAAACATTTTTAATTCAAATCGGAACGAAATCTCGGATAATTTTTTTAGCAATCCTGAACCTGTTCCCTTGCGATTTATCCATCAATTTTAGCGTTTTATTATGCCTAGTTTTGCTTTGAATAGTGTCTGAATCAGATCTGAGTTAGCTCTGATTTATTAAGATCAAATCTATTTTAAATCTGCCACAAGTCTTTTTGAATAAATTGGCTTGTTTAAAATATAGATATGCTTCAGATCTTTGGCAACCCTGAAAATATAAGATTTTACAGAGGTCAAGCCTGAGAACGGAATCACATTTCCTTTAGATTTAAACCGAGTCAAATTGTCAATAGTATACGGCAATCGCTGCATTTTATTTGTTTGTTGATATATTTTGTTCTGAATTTTTACAACCAAGATTCAAGAACAAATAAAATAAGAAGACCTGACATTTTTGTCAAAATCAGATCTTTTGGTAAGAAATAAAGAGTATTACATATAAAAAGAACGAATGAGGTAAGAAAAAATAGAACTTCACCTGATTTATTTAGGTTTTCAGGGAATCGAAAGTTTTTGTTTTGTTATTTGTTTGCACTGATAACTCTAGTCCCAAAAAAATTGTCCCAATGTCGAGAAAAACCGAATTAAATGTTTTGATTTTTTTGACCTTGCAGCAAGCGAGCAGAATTTTTATAGAAGAGTGAGCCATGAAGATTTAGTGTTTTTTTTTTTGAAAATTTAAGCGCCATTTTTGGAATAAAAAAACCATTGCACTTTATTCCTTTTGCCTGATTTGCCTTTTTTTGTGATTGTCGAATATATCTTAGTTTCTGTTTTTGTTCAAATCTTTTTTTATCACACCAGGTACAAAAAAATATTCACAAAAACTTTCAATGTATTATTTTAAGAACATGGTCGGAACATTCTGTGCTAATGGCAGAGCAACTGGTTATCGCTGTTTTCTTTGTTTTTTTTTCGTGCAAAATAATAGTCGGAATGGGTGAAATGATGTATTACTTTGAAAGCCTTTCAGTCAATTTTGAGAAAAATTTGGTGGAAGTTTTTGATTTTTGATTTAATTTCGAGGGAATAAAGCGAGTTAGCTGTCTTTTTTATGCTTAATTTAAGCCCTTTACAAAAGCTTATTTGAGTCTAATTTTAGTTTTTTTTTAAATTAAAATAGGTTTTTGGAGTTTCCCAACGCCATTTTGTGAATCAAAATTTTCAAGAAATCAAAAAAACTCAGCAAAAAAAATTTGAAAAAGTTTGAAAAGTTTTATTTTTTTTATTATGTTTCTGTTTTTCTAGTCATTTTTTTGAAAAATGATTGGTCAATTTGCTTATTTTATTATGACTGTCGAACATGCTTAAGCTCCCGTTTTTCGTTCAGATATCGTTATATCTATATACCACGCAAAAAAAACGACACTAATTTGAAAAAAAACTCTTTATGTGTTTTTCAAGTCTATGGTTGGAACATTCTATGCTACTTGCACAGTAACTGGCTATCCTCGTTTAATTTGTTTTTGTGCAGGTGGCAAGCCGAAGCCTGAAGTGGATCTTGATGAGTTAAAGAAACTGTTGGAGGACTTCGGGAAAGGAGATGCGGATGCGAAAATCGAGAAGATGGGGGATGACGGCGGAGGAGGGGGAGGGGGAGCCAACGTCTGTTAGATATATCAATTTATTGAAATGTGCGACTTTCTCATTTGGGGCGCAACAAGTTGCGGTTGTTTTTTTTTGGACCAAGTAGAATTTCAAAAAAAATTGATTGCACTAAGTCGCACAGAAACCGCAGAAACTTCTTGGTCGCGCAGAACTGCGACACATTTTGTTTTGAATGGCGACGGTCGCGCCATAGCTATTTTGAGTGCATAAGTGGCGTGTACCTGAGCCCGGGTGGGTTTATCAATTTTGAGTGTTGCAGTGTAATTTCAGCTGCAGATGTGAGTGGTGGGGGCAAAGACAAGGAGGAGAAGAAGAGCAAGAAGGAGTCAGGGGGCAACAAAGAGAGCAAGACCAGCAGCAAGGCTGTGAGTGACCAGTCAAACACAATTTACCTCTGGTCATTTTACATTACCCCCTCCCCCTAACTGAACTAAAGTTGCGCTAGGGGGGATTCCCGGGTAATTGTAAGGCTACCTTCACAGATCCTCTTTTACAACTTCCTTTTTTATTCGACCAATCCTTAATGCTTCCGAAGCTGCCAATGCATGCTAAAACGAAGGGGACAGCCCTCTTAAAGAGCAATTTTGTTAGAAAAGTGCTTAAAAAGACATATTTGCCTCGCTAAAACAAGTTGTCTTGGAAAAGCTTTGCAAATCATTTTGGACAATCTATTTTTTTTGGAAGTTTCTCTCCCGAAAAAAATTATGAATTTTCCAAAAAGTTTATTTCTGCTCAATTTCACTGTTTTTTAAGCAAAAACCTTTCGTAGCAGGGCAGAACGTTGATTATTTCGACAGCACTTTAAAGCATTGAACTCGTTTTTGATTACCTAATGTTTGATTGCACTTGCGATCAGTTTAATGTATGAATACGAATCTTCTTTTTTTCTAACCTAACTCGCAAATAAAAAAGTTCATTAAAAGTGTTCACTTATTTGTAAATTTCACTGTAGCTATGAAAATTGCATAGCATCTGTTCTCTGCTTTATTTGTGACTAGTGTTTAGTGCCCATTAAGCTTCTTTGGCTGAGTTTGCAGTGTGTGAGACTCTTAATCTGTACTATTTCGAGACTTATTGTTCCGACTTTCGTTACGAAAGTAACGGAATATTTGCGCTCGGGGTGGGTTTTTTTTTCTTCAGACAAATTTCGACTTTTTAACTAGCCATTTTGACCGAATTTTTTTATATCATTCAAAAAGTATTGTTGTCCTGAGCTTAAATTTGAAGAGATATTTCACCTGTGATTATTTTTCGTAAAGTTATGAGGGTTTAAAGATTGCCATTTTGGCCATTTCGACCAATTTGGGACAATTAACGCGCGATATAATTCGCGTTATTAACGCGTAAGCGGAGATTTAATCCGTCTTATAAATCGTTCCAAATTGGTTGAAAGAAGCTTATTTGCCATAATTGATTTGTTACAAGGAACGAAATCTTTCTTTTTGTACTTTATATGGCGTGTGGGGGGATGATTTTCATACAAAATTTCAAACTTTAGAAAAAAATTTCGTTTTATTTTATTTCATTTAATTTTTTTAATGTTATTACTGCTGCTCCATAAACCTTAAAGGCAGTCGGAACATTCAGGGCTTCGCCCTGATACGAGCAGTCTTGTTTCTAATTTTTATCCTTGCACTTTAAAGAGCTGCTTTTTGTCGCGTTCTCGAAAGTGTTTGCGAAGGGAAGCTTGGCGTCTGAGTAATATTTAGAAAAAGTTGAAACTTTGCTCAAAGTTTCTTTGTTAACCCCTCCCCCACCCACACACGCTGTATATGCTACTAAAAAATATGCGATGCTTCTAATTATTCCAATTTTCGCAGGAAGAATGGAATATTTGTTCGCTGTAATTTTTTAACTAGTTATTTTTGAATGTAGTTTTTATATACCAACTGAAATTTCTGGGCTCAATTTAAGAAAGGTTATCACCGCGATCATTTGAAAATATAAATTGCTGTTTAAAAATAGCAAATTTGGGTAAATTTATCAATTGACGAATCGATAGATTCCGATCTGTTAACCCATGAACGGCATTTATATCATAAGTTTCTCAAACATTATAGGAAAGTAATTTTATTAATTTTTATATAACTCAAAAATGGTTTATACAATTAATGGGAAAAAAACAATATTGAACATGGAAATTAACGGAAATTAATTGGCTGAAAAGATTGTAGACCTTCTCCACAGTTTTTTGTCCCAAAATGTCTAGTGGAATTTTACGAAAAATTGCTCATCGTAGTCTGTAGGGGTCATTTTGTGTCGATAATTACTTAGCGTAAGCCCTGGTGCACTGAAAAATCTTTCCACTCCATTTGAATTTGGAAGAACAAACTTGCAACAAGCATAACCGAGGTTGCTTTTTCCGACGTTTTACCAGAAACGAGGCCGCTAGATCCAATTTGCAATCAGACACACTCACAGATATCTCAGATTTCAGTGAAAAACAGCGTCAGTTTCTTGACGTGTCAAATTTACCTCTTTTAAAAAAAAACTTTGCCAATGTCCGGTTCGAACTTGGGGTACTTTATAATAGCTGCAGTGAAGTACTTGATGAAGAAATCCAGCTCGTCCAAAAACAATCTTTATCTGCAATACCTAAACTTGTAAGGCTTTAGTAACCATATCTATCCTTTTCAGCTTTTGAATGGTTTGATCATCTTGATTATTTTCACTGGGGCTGGTTAAAAGGCCAATCAGAGAACCTTCATTACCAAATTAATTGGATAAGATTAAGCATATTTCACTATATTAGCTGAGCAATTGATACTGGACCATCGCGTGACGTTTCGACAAACCGGCAATGAATTAGTGTGTTGACGCAGTTTGACTCCGAGTTACTTCGTCTGGAGAGTGTGCATGACGAAATTAATTTCTAAGAAAACTGGTTCAAATTGCTTGAGAAACATGTTAACAGCAAGAGCAAGACGATGTGAAGCGCATCCTATTAAAAATTTTTGAATAAAAGAAGACACTGCTTCGTTCACTTCACAATTTTCGCCAAATTTTTACCGAACAGAGGCAGCATTAAAAAAATTCTTGTGTTCTTCCGCAGGGAGAAGTTCTTCATTCAATAGGGGTAAAAATAATAGCAAACATGCATCGTGCTCACCTTTTTGTTGGACTACACAGCAAAAATGATAATGTAGTACGTTGAAAGTACAGACCATCCATCAAAAACAAAAGCGTATTTATTGGGTAGTTTTTTGCTGCTAATAAGCTGAACTTCATTAGTAACCAGGTTCATGTATTCCATGAACGTTTTAGTACAAATTCGTTTTAAATTGGTGAAATCTCTGGTAAGTTTGTCGTCAACAAGTAAGAATGTTTTCACAGAAATGCAGGCCCATTTGAGGCAGTTGTAAACATTTTTGGCTGGCTCGGAAATTGCAAATTTGTTTGAGACTAACAAAATGGGTTGATTTCTCTTCGTTTCTTCATGATACTTAGGGTGAAAAGTTAAATTAAATTCGTATATCCTTTGTTAATACCCTAAATAGTTTCTGCAGCACACACTCATTTCCATTTGTTCCCCTCAGGTTGTTTGAAATAATGAAAAGCGACTCGTTTTCTCTCGCAATCTTTCATTTCAAAACAAAATTTTAAGTCTGAAGTAGTTGGATGAATTATATGCAGGCTTCTAGTGTATTATATATTCAGCGGGTAAGTATATTTCAAATATACAAGCTGTCCAATGAGAGCTAAGCTAGTAACGGAAATTAATGGCCTACTTGAAAATTAATTAATGGAGTTTTTCATTTTAGCGCATTTATATTTTGATAACCCCTGAATATATTTGTCTCAGACACCGTTCCAGTTTGACTTGAGGAAAGTTATTTGTAATTATTATTTCTTGGCTAGACGATATTGACACTGTGCTTACTTAACATAGCGAGTGGGGTGATTTTAAAAAAAAATCATCAGGACAAATTCATTCTGCTATTTTTTCTAATGTTGATCAGTTTTTAATATGCCTCAAAATCACTTATTTTTGGACCTTAAGGGGCAGTCGGAACATTCAGGGTAGTGTCTTGGTCTAGCTTCGGTCGGATCAAAACCGAATAGCTTGCAGCAGTTGTCTGTCTTATTTTTTAATTAAATGCCTTGATCCATTCTAAGGGTTTAAGTTTGGTTTAAAAGAAATCGCACCGTACAATTGCTGCTAAGTTTTCAAACTAATTTTTTTTTGTTGGCAATATTTTTGACCCAAATTTTTTTGTTCCAATTTTATCCAAATATCACAATACGCATAAACCGCGACAAAGTTCTGAAACAAAAAACAAACCAAATTAATGAAAAATATCGCCAGAATTCGGCAAATTTTGCTTCCTATTGCACAAAAAATGGCTTCAATGAGCTTTTATTCGTAAACTGAGAGAAGATTCCTATAAATTTTTTTTTTGAAAACACCTTGTATAATAAAACCTAGAAAATGAAGTGAAAAAAATATTTTTTCTTAATGTTTAAGAACAGCTCGCAAAAATTATTTTGATCTGTCGAAAAAACGCTTGCTGACGGTAATATATATCTTTGTAAAAGCCGGAAATGTTGATGCGAATTTGCGCGAATATTCCATACCAACTGGTCGTTGTCTTTTAATAGATTTTTGACAAGATTTTTTCACAACATCCAAATCACTACTAAATTCGCTTCTCAAGTGAGTGGCGGTCGGAACATTATGGCTACCGTGATTAAAACATTTTATGAGCTGGAAAACAGTAACTAAAAGTGTTTCAAATTAGGATTAGTTTTGTTTTTATTTACAGGGCAAAGAGAGTAAGGGTGGGAAGGAAGGAAAAGAAGGAAAAGAGCGAAAAAAGTCCAAAGTCAGTGGGATCGAAGAGGAGGGAGAGGGTGGAGATGCCAGTAACAGTATGGTCGGGGGAGAAAGCGGGGGCGAGGGGGGAGGAGGGGGAGGAGCTGTGCCTGAAGATGTGAAGGCAGTTCTGGAACAGGAGGTCAAACTGAAGACAGAAGAGTTTGAAACGGTGGGTACTATGGCAGCATACAGCCTAATATCCTTTTGTGAAACAAAAGAAATTTTTTGATGATGCAAACAAAATTAAAGAAAAAAGAGATCTGGGAAATGTGAGACACACTCAACCGAGTCAGCATAGTAGAATGTAATGTTTTCGTTTAGCTGAAGATAGTTTAAACTTAACTTTAAAATAGGGCTATGTTGTTCTTGTTTTTTGTTCAACAGGAGAGGGGTAAGTTGATCAAGCAGATGGATGCGAAGGACGACAAGATAGCCCAGCTGACTCAGGACCTGAACACTCTCAAGGCGCAGATGGAGGAGCACGGGAACAAGTACAAGTCCTCCCAGGCAGAGGGAAGAAAGGCCGCCGAACAACTCACAAACATGAACAGGTAGTTAAACCGCGCTATGCAGTAATCAGTTTCTATAGGGATAGTTTTCTGACAGAATAGATTTTATTGGAGGCAATCACGAAAACGCAAATATATATTTATATTGATAAATTATGTTTTTGACTCGTAAATTTGTTATGAGAAAACAACTTAGACCGACTCGGGTGTTAAATGATATGCAAGAAACTTTTAAAATTGTCGCGTTATGAGCAATACAAGAATAAGAAAAACAATAGAAAAAAAGGGTTTATATTTGTTTAAAAAAACAGTGGAAAGTTTACATTCCGCCATAGAATTATTTCATGGGCAGCCATTTCTTTTGCTGAATTTTGTTTAAAAAAACTGAACCTTATCATAGGACAATAGATCAGTTCAAAGAGAGGAACAAGCGACTGGAGCAGGAGTCGAAGCAGTTCCAGGGGGAGATTGAGAACGCCAAGACTGTGGTGAAGCAGAAAGAGGAGGAGTCCCGGAGCAAGGACAAAGAGATACAAGATTCCAAACAAGTAGGCACTATTTTGCAGTACAAAATAAAAAAAACAAGGAAAAAAGTGAACTCTCTAATGTCTACTTTTGCAGACATTAGACTCTGCGAATTTGCAATTTACCCGAGTGTTCATTAGAATCTCCAACTCTACACTTTCAAAGAAACTTGTCCGACAGTTTGTTGGGTATAATATTTTATTGTTTGGGTTGTGTTGTTTGTGTAGCAAGTGGAGCAGATGAAGCAGGAGGTGGAGAGTGTGAAGACGAAGATGCAGAATCTGTCCACCAAGTACGGACAGCAGTTGTGCACTCTGGCTGAAGACATCTCTGTTGTTAGTACAGTCCAACACAAGTACAAACACAGTTGCAATCAAACAGCTGAACACATTTACTTTTCAAGTCTCGGTTCAATTGAGAAAATATAGAGCAAAAAGGGTCTCAAATTGCAATACAGTTATAACTATGTATGCTGTTACTAAACAATCCTCTTGGCCACATACGATGATTTTTTATTCTCAGCCCTATATCTTTTCCAGTTAAATGATTAATCGTAACCAGGGGCGGATCTAGGATTTTCTCGAGGGGGCGGATTTTCAAACTATCTTTGAAAATTTTGCTGTCGACCTTTTTTAGTTCGACAGCAAAAATTTTAGGGTCAGTCGGCCAAAAATTGATATCTCAAAAAAGTACAAAGGGGGACCCTTTGAGTCGGCAGGGGGTTGAATTCCTGAGGGAAAAGCGTCCGACCCAAAGGCCACCTCCCCTAAATCCGCCCCTGATCCTAACCAAACAAAAGTGGACTGCTTTGATTAAGATTAAATTGCTGCAACTGAAGAGAAAATTTCAGGACATTTAGAAAAATCCTAACATCATTATTCTCTTCCTTATCCAAATATTTGTGCTTGGACTCAATTGGTTTTGTTGCAGGTGGGTAAAAACTTTGTAGGAGAGCGGAATGCAGCTCAGTTTGAGTACAGGAAGCCAGATGCTGCCAGACCGAATGAGGGCTTTGCTGCCTCCAGGGCCCTGCTGGCCAAGGCCAAACACTATGCAGTGGGAGGGGGTCGCAAGTACAGGGAAATGGAGGAGGAAATTAGGGTACGCTACACTTCTACCCTGAGTTTCATTATGATGCAATGATTTTTTTCATGGTGATTCAAGTTAAGCAGTTGAAGCCCCCCCCCCCCGACCAGACAAAAATCATAAAAAATACATAGCCCGATCAGACTGTAAGTTTTCTATAATGAGTCGTATCTTCAATTTTCTTGAGGTGGAGTTGATTTATTTTTTGGTTGAAAAGATAAAAGAAGGCCAGGGAACAGCAGATATATGCATTTAGTGGGTGGGGGGCTTCTAGAGTCTGAAGTGGTGCTCGTATAATGTGTTTAGCGTCTTCGGAATGACAAGGAGCAGCGGGAGGGGGCACACGTGGAGCAGATGATGATGTTGAACCAGGCGAAGAACGAGATGGACAATCTGAAGGACAAGATCCAGGACCTGAAAGACGACAACCAGCGACTGCAGAACAACATCCAGAAGAGAAATGCTCAGATTGCTGCCATGGGCGAGTCAATAAAGTTTTGCTCACTAAATCCCCCGTTTGAGTTTTATTTCACTTTGCCTCATTGAAACCAGTGGAGTATTTGTTACAAAGGACCCGGTTGGCATTATTGCATGGAATCCATATTGAAACTTTGAACATTTCTTCTCAAGCTTAATTGGGCTTCTTAGATAGTTTATTGACACTACTGCCACTTGTATGAAAATCAGAGGTATAAAAACTGCCAGTTCAAAATTAGGGGAAATTCGAGCCGACAAAAGTTTCGATTCATAACTAAAAATACTCAGAGCTCTTCTTAAATATATAAATGTATACTCAAAGTTTGATTTATTGAATTTTGATGGTGGTAGTAAAACTTTGAAAACTCATTGTTTCTGATTGGTTAACGCAACTACACATAGGCACAAATTAACTACAAAAACTTTCTTTCGGAGCGGGTTCAAGGCCCTCTCGTCCAAATAATTGTACATATTCTATATAAAAATTAGTGAAAATACGTTCATAAAAAATAGAAACCAAGCAATTTTGATTTCTGTGACCTCGAAAAGTTATGTTTTTGGCTGCGAATTTGCATGTTTGCTATCAATCATTTCGGCTTATAAATTGATTGTTTGTTGTTTATGTGCGCTCTGCAAAACGCCATATTATTTAATTATGGAAAAAAATTAGCGCGTTTTTAATAGAACATCCAAGTTTTACGGATCTTCTCTCAATAATTTCTTCTGGATGATACAGATTTACTTCAAAACTTTCTAGCTGTATTATGAAGGTTCTGTCAGAATGTGTCTTCTCATCGGATGGGTTTTAATTGGTCCTCTTTTTTCATCCAGTGGCCTGATCTGCACATGCTTGAAATACAAAATTGATCGAATGAACTCGAGTCATACAGTGCTTACAAGCGAATAGACGCTAGACCATCAGCAGATAAAATACGAAGTATGATGCTTATGACAATAATTGTGATGATTATGACAAATGTATGGACTCAAGAGTAATGCCCGCGGCCCCAAAAACGTTACGCGAGGAAACGGATCTTTCTCACCAACTGGTGTATAACCGCAACAATCCGGGGAAAGTTCGGCGCGTTTTCAATGGAGTATCAAGTCTTCACAAATCTTTTTCCATTCAAACTCTTGTGATGGGTTCAGATTTGTATTAAGAAAAAACCTTTTAGCCGTATCAAGTTCCGTCAGCATCAATTTTCAAATTTGCTGATATAGAAGGAATCTTCTTTCAGGTTGGTTTGCTTGCGGTTGAACATCTATCACTCCAAGTTTTTGTTGCGGGAGGGTAGCACAACCGATATGGTATTTTATGTGCTAACACATGTGCTAACTTCTCACTTCAACAAATCGCTCCTTCAGTCAAGCTTCTATATGGACGCAATGCTTCTAAATAAACTTCTCTATAGATGCAAAACTTCTCTATGAACGACTACCTTGGCTCGCTGAAAAACGCTAAAGAAGCTTTGAAATTAAGTAAAACCTTATAGAACTTCCTAAATTGTGCCTTTTTAAATTGACAAGTTTTGTCAGCAAAGTAAAAATTATACAAATTGAGTTGAATACGTGCAAATGTGCTATATAAATATGTGCTATATAGTTAAATACAAACTGAGTTAAATAAATTATATCAGAAAAATTTTACGCAGTGAGTGTAAAACATCATATGTTCCAGGTTTTAATTGGGGTCACATACTTGATACATAAGTTGTCCGGCGAGGGGTAAAAGGAAAATTGAAAAACAATGGTACACAACCTACGTCATAAGCTTCTTCATCTCAGTCTTTGACCCTATTAGATTGGTTGCTCCATACACATTAGAGAGCGTTTTTTCTCGAAAAAAGTTTGGAGAATCAGTGGTCACAGTTAGTTGACCCCTTCCAGAAAACTTAATTGAAATCTTTTTCAGGTGGCATTACAATTTTAGGTCGGTTGAAAAACCTGCGCTGTTATTTTCTGCCTGCAGTTGCCAAAATTGAACTGCATATGATTGACAATAGTTCTGACAATGCAAAATTTTCTGTGCGGTTGGATTTCTTCGAGCGCCCTTTAGATACTCAGAAAATCAAACTCTCTAGTATTCCAGATAAAGGTTGATTAGCGCCAATAAAGGCTAGGTCCATCCGTGAGTTGGAAATTCAGGCTGCGGTATTGGCCACACTTCTTAAAGAGGCTGTTATCAAAGCACTAAAACTTCAAAAACTATGTCTCCATGAGAACAGAAAGCACCGCAGTGTTCCAGTGACTCCATTTGCCATCAAAGCAACCCAGTTTTGCTGCCAACCGAGAAGGCAACATATTTGAAGTCAACACTGTAGACGAGTGGCATCATGTCGACACCGGAAACAATCGCGCAGATACGGGCACCCAAGGTATTGCCGTTGAAGCTGTGAAAAAACAAGATCCAAGCTTTCTAAGAATCCATGACTGACCTTTTTGTCCCATCGTTGATGTAGTCATCAAAATAAGACTACTCAAAGATCACGTTCTTGAGGTTATTGATACCTCATCAAGTTTTGTTGCAAATCCGGAACCAATCAAACCCGTCATCAGTTGACCTGGCTAAAGAAATTTTTCTGTTAAGCTGTTACGCACTGTAGCATTCGTCCTCAGATCTTATTTTAAGTTCCTTCATGACCGTGAAGCAACAATCAGAATTTTCGAAACTTCTAAAGTGGAAAATGCAAAATTGAATCACTTGCTTCTCTCGCAAAAAAGGCATTTGCTTCAGAGCCTAAAATTGAAAAATTCTACGAAACCTACAACGATTCTAAATCTTATCGCATCACCAGCCCACTTACTCGCTCCTGGTGGTCTTCCCAGGTCCGCATAATCTGTCAATTGTTAAATCAATTTCAGAATAAAACATACCATTATTCCTAACAGTCGTCATCATCAGTGAAGTTATATGGAAGCTTTCTGCATCGCAAGCATGAGCATCAATCTATCGACATCCGATTATTCAGTTGCTTAGACCATTTTCAAATTAAGGTCGTTACCTCGGAACATTGGATTTAATTGCGTGTTTTGTCGTAAATGGACGGTAAAAAACTTTACACTTTTATGTAACGGTTAGGTGAAGTTCTGAGAAACTTTTGGCATTTTTCCTTACTCGTTGGACTGCAAGAGCCATCCACATAGAAATCGTTTTGTCTATGGACGATAGCGTTTGATGAATGGAAGTGGAAGGATTTATTGCTGGGCGTGGAACTTCATCAAAAACCTGCTCATACAAGAGAACGATTTTTGTCGGCGCAGAGAAAGAGATTCTTCTGTGCACTCGAACGTGGAATGACCTCGCACTCGCCCATCTCGTACATAAAAGTGTAGAATGAAAATACAACCATCCAACCGCACCACACCACGGTGGCTTGTCGGAACAGCTTGTACATAGTTGCAAGATAGTCTTCTACTCGATCCTCAAGCTAATAAAATTACTGATGAAGTCCTTTAGGAAATTTTGTCTTTTGGTACAGTACTTGAATGCGCGTCCTCTCACATTGTTAGCAGTGATTCAAATGAATTTTAGACACTTGCTCGCAACCATTTCTTAGTGGGAAAGCGTTTTTTGAGTTTTCCTTCCGACGCAACACGCGCCGAGCACGATCTCAAGTCCGGACATCTTGTTTGAATCGTTTGGGGTAGTACCCCTAGCATCAGGAGATTTAAGACGTCCGCTCCTTGTGGCCTCGAGGATGTTTCTGATTAAAAAACGAACGTACCCTTAACTATAAAGGCACTAAAATAAAGACAGAGAAGCCGCATTGGCCGAGAGGTTAACGCAACTTCGCATACGTTTGAATTAAATATATAAAACTTCCTTCGGCGTGGGTTCGAGGCACTCTTGGTCTATTTATTGTTTCTACGAAATGATTTTGTAGAAATAAGTTCAAAAACCGTGAAAACAAAAGAATTCGAACTTGTCTGACTTCAAAAAGACAGGTTATTAATTGCGAAAGTTCGTGTTTGCTGTCAATTATTGCTGCTAAAATTCGTGTTTGCTGAGGGGGAGCAGCAAAACATAGTTTGAGCGACGAGACACTATTTTTTTGTAAAACTGCTTTGCTTTGTGTTGTCAGGCAAATCTGGGGCGGATGAGATAGACGACCCTGACCTGAAGATGTTGAATGATGAACACCAGGCGCAGATACAGAAGCTAAGAGCTCAGATGAACGACGAGGTATGGCTAAGAAATTAAAAAATTAGATTTTGCGCTTGGCTGGATTAAAATGACAAACTTTACAGAAATGGTACTTGAAACCTTTGATGATTTTTTTCTATAATGCAAGGAGGCGTCTTATTTTTCCACAAGTATCGAAATTTTTTTTTGAGGGGGAAAGTTCGAGAAAACATCAAAAGCATGTAGCAAATTTAACGATATAGAATTAGCGTTTATTGACCTTCACCTTTTGAACCATTTAAATACTAGCTAAATTTAATTCCTAGCAATCAGTATTATTCAAAACTATCAAAGACGCTATATCAGTTTGAGTTGGTATAAAAACTGTGACATAGTTAGCTAAAATTAGTTTTACTTTGATGTTTTTTAACACTTTTTGATATTTATATTTTTCACCACGAAAGAAGACATTCACGATTTTGCGGCAGTGTTGGTTAATTCCACTTGGTTCTTTTTTGCTGACTTAAGATGATATTGCCATCGATTCAGCATTAGCTTAGGAAAAATATTTTCGTTGACACACCTGTGATTTTTATCAGATTAAGAAGGGTGAGCGTGCTCAGCGGGAGAGAGACGACACTCTTCAGCTAGTGGAGAGACTTAAGAGTGAAATGCAGGCTCAGAAACAGAAGTTCGCCAGGGAAAAGGCAGAGGTAAACATGACCGTCTCTTCAACCGAACCTTCTCTTTTTTATACGTTTGAATTTCAATTTCTTGACCAAGTTAATATCCTCGCCCAATTTCCTTCTTAGTGGTTAAAGTGTACTGGAATATCCAATTGGTATAAGATAAGGAGCGCTAAATGAAACTCTTATATGCTTAGATCTAAAAATTGTCAAATTATCAGACTTTACAACCCGTATAAATCAGGGGCGGATCTAGGATT